ATGCGGCTCTTTGGCCCCTTGAGTGTGGCTCTTCCTGAGCCTTAGGAGTACCCTAATTAAGTTAATAACAATGTACCTACCTATATAGTTTAAGTTTAAAAAATTTGGCTCTCAAAAGAAATTTCAATCGTTGTACTGTTGATATTTGGCTCTGTTGACTAATGAGTTTGCCGACCACTGCTTTAAGCAATGATGACCTATTGAAGGTTTTAAATGAATTAGAAACATGCTCTAGCCCATGTTTTATAGGTTAACTCTACCCTCAGTGTAAACCATGGTTTAGAGCTGGGGGAACATGGAGGCGGGCAAACTGTTAGTTAGGAAGCTACAGCCATGGTCAAGGAGGCACTGCTAGGAGCCTGAAACCAAAGAGAGGAGAGGGAGATAATGTCAAGAATTCTGTTCTATCTCTTGCACCGCATGATTGGATGAGCTCTGTGTGTGCCAAGGCATCCTGCACTTCCCCCATCAGCACACTCTCCTACCTATATGTTGCTTTGCCCCACTAGACCAGGTGGGAAGCTCCGCTGCCTTGCACATTTAAGCATGCAATTAATATCATCACTATCTTTTGAATAATGAATGAACAAACTGGATTTGAGGGATAATATAATAGGTAATTGCAGACTTAGAAGTGTCAAACAAGCGTTAAAAACTTATATGCTTTTGAATTTAACCTCACAACAACCCTGTAATACAAGTAATATTATTAGTCCTATACTCTAGGGAGAAAACTGAGGCTTAGAGAACCTAATTGATTTTCTCGGTCATAAGGTCAGAATTCAAAGCCAGAAGTATTTGGTGGAAAATTCCTTTCTTAACCACTATGATGGTCCACGTCTGATGGGAAGAGAGGGTGAGTTCTGAGGTTTTTATTTGGACATCTGAGTAAATAACGATTTCATTAACAGAGATATGAAATCCTATCAATTCAAGGAACCAATCAAAACATATTAAGTGAGGTTGTAAGAAGAGGGGTGCATACACAGAGGGGTAAGACAAACAGTTGAGTTGTTCCAAAGTTGACTTTAGGGAGGACAATGTCATGGAAGGGTCTGGGGAAGTATTCTACCAAATTGAGTCACCATGTACTGCTAGCCTAGGCCAGCAATGGGAGGAAAACAGAGGCAGAGGAGCCAATAACTCAGAATAACAAGAAGACCAACTAGGACATTTAATAGATTTTGAGGAGATTGAGGGAATATACAAGGCAGAAGAATAGGCATTTGAAATGTTAGTAGAGCCGTGTTCAGGTGATAATATGACCTTGGGTGACTATTATTTCCACAATGCTGATCACAGGACAGTACACATTAGATGGATTGACCACATGGACATCCAAATCTCCCAGGATGACAACAGGAGTAAGACTTTGAATCTTTTGTGAGAGCATTGAGGTAGAAAACGGGAATGGAAAAGTTGTTGACCTGCATTTTGATTAAAGGAGTTATAATTAAAACTTTATGAACTTCAAATAACAAGGAGCTCTTAAGTGAAGATTGTTGAACAGTGGGTCTTAAAGTAACTAAGAAAAGATAGCTAAAAAAATACCTTGTGTACCTACTGATCCTGATCCCAAGGAGAGAAAGATAAATAAATGCTCATTTGAGAAGGTTTCTCACGATACAATACTCTAGAAAGAGTATCAGGTTTCTTTTGTTACTATAAAAAGGTAGCAGAAGGTTCTCAGAAAAAGGTAAAGGATACAGGAAGTATTACTAACAAAGGTGAGTATTACAGTGGGCAACAGGAATTGATAAGATGAACAAAGATGGGTAAAAGCTGAGACTGACAAAGAGTGAATGAAAAAAGATATGATTGCTTGGAAGGCTGTCTAGGATAAATAATTATATGACAGGAGCTAAATGTTCCATATGTCTTTAATGTCATAATGACTCCCAAAATCTTTAAGACTATAAAATTTTCCTTTTGGTTTCAGGAAAGAGGCTCAGGTATGTAGCAAGAATGCCAAAGAGCTTGGTGTGGAGAAACTCAGAACATCTGACAGAAATAGGAATTTAGGGATAGAAACTGTGACAGTTCTGAAGACTTTCAAGATGATATTAGTATAACTGGGAAGAAAACAGAACAAGTTCTAGAATTATTTATTCTCATTTACACATTTCCTCAGTCAAAACATTTTATGATTTCTTCCTAAAAGTATACTTATTACTAGCTGAGTGACCAACTGTATGTAGCAGTCTAGGGAACTAGATGTGACCCCACCAGGAAGAACTCAGAATGATGTGATGATGACTGTGAGTGTGTGTGCACACATGGTTATGTGAGTGTGTGTGTGTGTGTGTGCGTTTGTGTGTACACACCAATATACTTTACTAGAGGCCCAATGCACAAAATTCGTGCAAGAGTAGGTCTTCCTTCCCCCCGCTGCCAGCACCGGCTTCCCTCTGACAACCGGCAGCACTCAGGACCCGGGCTTTCCTCGCAGCCCCATCTGTCCTC